ACATAGGCCTATAACTTTCATATGGAGCCCAAGATCTAAAAAGACCATTTTCAAGTCCAAATTGTTACAACAACAAAAAAGCCCGAATCTGTCCTCTAGCCCAAGCATTATTCAGTATTTTGGCTATATCTGGAGTTCTAAAAGTCAAAATGAGCTGAATTTTTTACACAAGAAAGATGAGACAATTTTTTACGTTATCAATGATATTTTGGGCAGACAAGAGAAGATAAGGATTCTCACCAAGTCAAGAGTTGGTCACCCACTCATTAATTAGTCATCAAATCAATAGTTCCCAATTTTGGCCTATAAAAAGAGACATTTGTCATGCATTTAGGCATCTTGGTTTCTAGATCAAGATCATGCTCTTGCTTTCTCTCTTTATATTTTTTATAATGTTTATGCTTTATTTTCATTAATATCAAGTTTATGCCTTTCATTTCCTTTCCTTTACTTAGTTAACTTTTATCTTATTTATGTTCTTATTTTTTTATCTATTTTTCTTTATTTTATTATGTCTAGCTAAGTTTATTATGTCAAGGTAAAAGGTTACACTAATGGTGTAAGAATAAGTACAGTATAAACTTAATATGGACTTTAATGTTTGATACTAACATGTTTTATATTTATTATCTTGTTCACTCTTTAATACTTTGCTTGTTAAATGATTAATCTTGATTTATGTTGTATAACAATTGGTACAACAAATGCTTAGCACTTTCATAGCCTATACTGTATGGTATAACCAACACCTGAACTATGAAAGGAACTTGATTTATTATTAACATAAGTTATAATCATAAATGCTTGACAAAATTTACAAGTATTAGCATTAATTGAATAAGATGACTAATGTAATCATGTTAACAATCTATAATTTGATTGGAACCTCCTTTGTGTGTGGTTTCCAATTGAATAATAAGAGTTTATACTATACTTGTTCTTATCAATTTTTCTTCTTCTTTTTCTTCTTTATTATTGTTGTTGTTGTTATTATTATTATTGTTGTTGTTGTTATTGTTGTTGTTGTTGTTGTTACTAGTAGTAGTAGTAGTAGTATTGCTACTATTATTATTGTTGCTGTTATTGTTACTATTGTTGCTATTTATAATTGTTGTTTATAATTTGTACAATTAACCTCCATATGATTCGACCCCAATCTTTCCGGATTATTTATTACTTCGACACTCCTACACTTGGAAAAAGACATCAATCTTTTTGTCATGTCACTCACTTCGAAAGAAATTTCATTATGTGGTGGTCACGATAGAGGTGTTGTAAAATATAAATGTTCTTTCAATCAAAGATCTCTTAGGAAAATTACAAGTCCATGAGAAAAGAATTAATAAGATTTAAGATAATGTGAGTGTACAAGCACCTTTTTTCAAAGCAGGATGGTTCTAGATATTTTCAAGGGGTAAAGGACATGGACAAAGCAAAGAAAGAGGCAGATTTGGAAGAGAAGTTTGTGGCAGCCTCAAAAGGTCATCCATTCAACAACATAAAGCCAACCAATTGATCGGTTACACTAATATTGGCAATCTAAAATCCAAGTTTGACAAATCAAAAGTTAAATGTTATAATTTTTAAAAGGTAAGTCATTATGTTAAGGATTATTAAAGTCCAATCAAAAGGGTTGAGTAAAATGCAAATCTAGTGATAGAATAAGAGAAGGAAGCTACCTTATTATTAGTTTATGATAAGAGAATGTAAGATAAAAATAACATATGGTATCTAGATAATACAGCCAATAACCACATACGTGGTGATAAAGACATGTCCATAGAGCTTGATGAAATAATTAGAGGTAATGTCACCTTTGCATATCATTTAAAAGTTTCAATCAAAGAAAAATATATGATTTTAATTAAATTGAAAGATAGAAGTCATTAATTTATTGGTGATGTCTCTTATATATCAATCGTGAAAAGTAAGATATTAAGCTTAGGATAATTATTGAAGAAAGGATATGAGATTAAAATGAAAGGTCATATTTTGACATTACTTGACATTAAAGAAGCTATGATTGCAAAAGTAGACATGACAAAGAATAGAATGTTATCGCTAAACATGGAGACAGATGAGTCTCAATGCTTAAATGCATGTATGAAGGATGAGACTTGGCTTTGGTTTATGAGACTTGGACATGTAAACTTTGATGGTTTAAAGATGATAACAAAAAAAAAAAATATTAAAGGGTCTACCATCTATTATACTTATAAATCAGTTGTGTAAAGGATGTTTAGTGAGCAATTAATTTCACAAGAGCTTTCCAAATGAGTCTACATCAAGAGTGAGTCAACCCATACTAGAAAAACATGTCAATGAAACCATATTTGTTTGGTAAAAATCTATATTTTCTACTTTTTATTAATGATTATACTAGAAAAACTTAAGTATATTTCTTAAAATGAAAGTCTAAAGCGTGTAGTTATTTTAAGTTTAAGGTATTAGTTGAAAAAGAAAGTGGTTATTCTATAAAATCATTCTAGATCCCCACAACAAAATGATATGGTAGAGAGAGAGAATAAAAGTTTCCTCAACATGGCAAAAAGCATGCTTAAAACCAAGAAGATGCCTAAAACATTTTAGGTTGAAGCTATAGATTGTGCTATTTACTTATCAAATAATTGTCCTACTAAAAGCATGAATGGCATAACTCCATAAAAAACATTGAGTGGAAAAAAGCCAAGTCTCTCACTTGAAATTTTGTTAAAGCATGTAGATGATCAAGTAAAGACAAAGCTAAATGAAAAGAGAAAAAAAATTATCTTTATAGGTTATGATTAAAATTTCAAATGATACAAGCTTTACAATCCTAATCAATAAAAGATGATGATTAGCAGAATTGTTGAGTTCAATGAAGAATGACAATGAGATTGGAAAGTAAATGATGGTAAAAAATATGACTTTCTATCGATTTTTAATAAAGAGGATGAAAAAATATGAAGATCATTAAGAACTTAAGTTACACCTCCACAAACATCAATAAGCTCAACTTCTCCTTTTTTTTCTTCTAATTGAAGCTTAAATAGTGACACTCTGTCAAATCCTTCAAGAAAGATGAGAAGCTTTAATGACTTATTTAAGATAATTAATCATATTGATAATGATGCAACACTATATTGTCACCTTGCTACATGGTATCCTATAATATTTGAAGAAGCAATAAATGATGCAAAATGAAGAGTTGTTATAAATGAGATTACATCAATTGAGAAGAATGACTTATGGAGATTGGATCTTAGACCAAATAGAAAAAAACTAATTGGTGTCAAATAGATCTACAAAGAAAAGAAGAATATCAATGGAGAGATGGAGAGATACAAGGCAAAGTTAGTGGCAAAAGACTATAATCAAAAGCATGGGATTAATTATGATGAAGTATTTGCTCCATTTGCTAGATTGGAGACAATTCGATTAATAATTATCACCGTTGTCTAACATAGATGGAGAATCTATCAAATGGATATCAAATAAGTCATTCTTAATGGTTTTCTTGGAAAAAAAAAGGTTTACATTAAGCAATATGTGGAATATAAAGTGAAAGGACATGAAAACAAGGTATTCAAGTTGAACAAAGCCTTGAATGGATTGAAGCAAGCACCAAGGGCTTGGTATAGTCATATTGATGACTATATATTAAAGAATAGATATGTTAAATGCCCTCATAAATATGTTATCTATGTAAAGATTAAAAAAAAGTCGTTGTAGTACTCTTATTTTATATTTGTATATGGATGATTTGATCTCTCTAAAAAATAATCTAAAGATGTTTGGAGAATTCAAGTATGAAATAATCAAGGAGTTTGAGATGATGAATATTGATCTTGTGTCCTACTAGTTAGGAATTGAGATCAAACAAGAAGAAGATAGAATCTTTATGAATCAAGAAAAGTTTGTAAGAGATGCTTTCAAAAAGTTCATGATAAAGGATTGTGCAAGAGTAAATACTTCGGTTGAGTGTGGAGTAAAGATGTCAAAGAATGATGAAGAAGAGAAAATAAACTATATAACATTTAAGAGCTTAATTGAGAGTTTAAGATATTTTACATGCACTTGTCTAAATATTCTTTTTGGAGTAGAACTTATAAATAAATTTATGGGGACACCAATCATGACACACTTCAAAACATTGAAGCGAATTCTTTGATATATCATAAGTACTATTCATTTTGGCTTATTCTATGGATATTCTAATAGCTTTGAACTTATGGGCTATAGTGATAGTTATTGAGCTAGAGAAATGAATGATAGAAATAACACTACGAGTTTTGTTTTCTATATAGAAGACAACATTCACATGGAGTTCAAAGAAGCAATCTATAATCACTTTCTCAACATATGAAGTTAAATATGTAGTTAATACATCATATGTTTGTCATTCTATATGACTAAAAAGATTATTAAAGGAATTATGAATGTCACAAGTGAAGCTTGTTGAAATTTATATGGACAAATCATCAATCATTGTATTAGCAAAGAATCCAGTATTTCATAATAGAAGTAAGCATATTGATAAGAGATTTCACTACTTACGAGATTGCATTGCAAACAAAAAAGTTAAAATCAAGATGTGAAGACACAAGACCAAGTTGTCAATATATTCACAAAGCCATATAAATATAATATTTTTATCAAGACGGAAAATATGTTAGGGGTTATGAATAAAGCAAGTTTAAAGAGGGGTGTTGAAAGTATATCAGATTTTAATTCTAAAAAACAGAGTAGTTGGTCTACCGATTAAAAACTGGATAATCTGCTGGAATAAGTTGAATTGACCGACCGGTTTAGTCAACAGAATGTAATTCATATTCAAATTAGGATAATATAATTCATATTCAAATTAGGATTTACTTGGATTAGTTTAACTCCTTAATTATCTAAGACTTCATGCCTATAAAATAAAACTTGTAATTCAACATTATAAAACAACACAAAAGAAAGAGAATAGCTCAAAAAACTTGGAGAAAAACACTTAAAAAAATTATAACTTTCTCTTAATCTTCTTGTTTTTAAATTTTTAACTTTACATTACTGTTTTTAATATTCTACCACACTCATCCTTCTTCCAGGAGAGAGAGATCAAATATAATCATTTGAGTAAAATCATATGGATTGCTGTTAGGGCGCGCCATAGGATTCACGTGATCTTTCCAAAAACTTGGTTTCTTCCCGTTGTATTGGGTGGGAAGCGAGCAGGTGATGAGTGCTGATGGGTGTCCTTTCTCATTGCTCGGTCGTGATAGTAGCTTCTTCATGTGATAAAAGATGGAGTAAGAGGTAACTGTATATGCTTCTATGTTTGTTGTCTTAGATGGAGGAAGGGACCCATGACAGCTTTGCACATTAGTGACATGCATTCTGCGATTTTTGCTCACTAATCATGTTTCTGTATCATTAGAGATGTAGCTCCATTTCTCCTCGCTGGCACACGAGCCGTTCTCTTACTCCAAGACGTCGTAAAAGTCATTCTCTTCCACTCTAAGGTGTTATAAGAGGCAAAGAATTAGGAGTTCCTCAGTGTCTCCTACTCGTAAACCTTCTAGTCCAAGTCTTGAGTTGGTGGAGTGCAACATTCCTCGTGAAAAAATGAGAAAAGAAGAGGAGGGGGAGAAGAAGAAGAGGTGTATCGACTATCATGCATCTTGGTTCTGTCTATCATCAAGTTTCTATTGCCATTCCTAAATTTCAGCACTCTAAACTTATCATTTGAACTTTAGACATTCATGCAAGCTTTTTCACGATTGCTTTATTGATTGCATATACGTTGTTAGATTTGATCTTGGGATAGAAAATGTTAGTCTATTAGGCATATATGTGTTGCTTAATGAATCAGAGAAGCTGTACCGTATCCACGAGGCCAAATTGTAACTTAATGCCATTTAATTGAAAGATTGCAGCTCTGTGCAGCCTGGTCCATGGAAGTCAAAGAAAATGACCGGGAGATAACTTAACCAGTGGTCTGCATGAAACACGAAATTTTAAATCTTCAATTGCATTAGTCCGATTGTCTGTGTTACAGGAAAGAAATGAAAACAAATTACCAACATGAAATTCTTTGGATTTTCCTTTATTGTGTGATAAAGAAATAGATATTAATTTTTTCTTCACAGATAAAAAATAATGAGTGCACAGATGCCAAACGAACAATTTATTTGTGAAAAACAAAGAAACAAATATGCTGCCAGTGGTAGAAGCAGTGAACAAAAGGAAAAAGAAATTCTAGCTTAATTTTGTGCGCTCCTACCAGCATAACTTAACAAATAAATGATTTCTTCAATGAAGCAAGCATTCACCGAAATAAGTGCATAAAAAAGAGTAAATAAATAAAATAGGAAAGGGAAACCTTTGCCAGAAGATATATGGTAATTAATAAACAGGAGGAATGCGAGACCAAGCTCTTGGCAATTTCATGGTTGCTGAGGGAAAACTTTGTGCAAGAAATTGATAAAACGTTTTGCGTAAAATTTGGGCTCAACAATAGAAATCGACTGAGGGTCAAATTTTAATGATTTGCATGCATGCTCAACTTTCTTTTTCACTTTGTATTCCTGTAGTATATCAATTATGCCCATGTAGAGAACAACATCATAAACCTCGAAAAGTTCAATCTCTGCAGAATCAACCTCGTCCTGCATAAGCTTGTGGCTAGCCTGTGCTGGCATGTTCACTCCAAGCTGCACCCGCAACCTAATCATATATGGCAGTTGATCAACAGTTACCTTAACTACTGTTTGATATGTAAGTGAATGTAGCAACTCACAGCATCTGGAAACGTAATATTCGAAGCAAGGCTGAAATTTTCATGCTGAGATCCCTAGAATATAAATTTACAGGAGTTTAAATAGATCTACAAGGGCTTCCTTGGATTCGTTCCTAGGGGTTGGGGACCATATCAAAGAAAGTTGACACTGGTGATTTGAAAGACAAGCCAAACTGGTCAAGGTTTAAGAATGTGGGTTTGAGAAAGGGAGGAAGGAGGAACCATATGCAGAGTTAAATGGTGAAACCAAATATCAGCAGTCCAACTTCAGAATCAGAGTAGTTCAAATACTGTTTGGCATGAACTGATAGAAATAAAAAGGGGGGCTGCTCAACAAAAATATGTTTTATGAGCATAAATCAGCAGTCCAACCTCATTCTTTTGCTGAAAATGACTTCAAATTTCAGCTTAACTTTCAAGTTAATTATTTATATATGGTGTGATAATATCTAACACTGGGATTTCCCAGCCAAATATGTTTGGCAAATTCTCACAGGATTTTTGCATGTTGGTCCTGGTTATATTAGATTCTATATGGATATTGACTTATAGGATCCCCTTCATGATACCAGGCACATTCGGCCAGTTGGTATTAGCAATTGTCACCCTTAGCATCAGAAAACCTCCTTCTAGTGGCATTAAAAAGTTGTAATAATAAAAGGTACCTTCCAGTGCCAGGCAGCAAGAGATCCACCTCCTTCTCACCAAGAGAATTTGCTTTCAATGTATCTCCTCTGCTGTGAGGTCCTGGTGTAGTGCTTACTGAGCTAGGTTCATGGGTTACTAGGAGAAGACCTTTCGGAGGAATCACGAGTGGCCCTTGTGAGTTTATACCTGGTGGATGCAAAAATGAGGTGCCATATACTGAATAAACATGACCACATGCACAGATACTGTAAGAAAGAAGATAGGTGACATTCCACCTAACTAGGATATGCATAGTTTGTTGCCACAGTGATGTTGGCATGAAATTGTTGTTACTCGATTTCAAATCTTGAAACTACCAGATAGCCCTAATCTAATTTAAAATGATATAAAGGATACACACCAAGACTACATGAATTGTTTAACTGGAACTGATATATTTATCTGATAGAGCATTTTTAGAAGGCATACCTAAATTCACCATCCCTAAAGACACCACTAAAAGTTCACTTTCCAATCCATGTAGAGGGAGTCAACAAGAGTATGAAGGTCTGGCTAACCACGGTAACCCTTGTGAAATTTCTCACTTACAGACGGACCTATTATCCCAGTCTGAACACTCATGCTTGCTTTTCCAAACTAATTGCCATCAGCTTGGTTTACTGGAAGCATTTTTGCCACCACTAATCAAAGCAGCTTAACTACAAAATATAACCCAGCAAGTTTTGAGCCATGTCACCCTTCAAAAAGTATAACCTCAAAACTTTAGCAATATCAACTCCTCTCTGAACGAGTTTCAGTGTAAGAATCAAAGCATAAACTTAAGAATTCATGTCAAGATCGTTTTTCTCATCCTCACTTTCTAGATATTACAGATCCCTAAACCATCTTGCATAAACTTTGTTGGAGCCTTCCCAATACTTTCCCCAACATATGCTGCAGATGACTCCGTTTTTTACTTTATTATGGTGAAACTGTACAGTTAAAGTTATCATGAATTCAGAAATACATCTAGCAAAGGACATCTGATACTCACTGCACAATTTAACTCTTAAATGAACCATTAGAAACTACTGAAAAAATCAAGAGGTGATTAGAACTTAAAATTCAGTTAGGTACCTAACTAAAAAAAGATGTTTGTGTTGGGAGGATACCCACCATCAGAAGTAGCCAAAGTAGCATGATTCAGCATTGTAGCAGGTGGTTCTAAGATGGCTCTCAACTGTTCAGGCGCTCTAAAATGTATTCCCAATAGAAGACTATAATCAATTATCTGTTGAGATTCTAAAAAACTGCAGTCCAAAGAGAGTTGCCTGCACAGGAGGAAAGTATTTCTACAAACAATTAGAAGGTAGGAGACTTGATCAGACAATCAATAACTACTCAAGAATGATATTCTTATGGATTCATTCTGAAAGAGATACAACCTGTAGTACAAACAAACATTTTCTGAAGAGAACTAATATTCACACAAAATCACCGAACTTCATGATAAGAATGCCACAAAAAATGAATACATGAAGAAGCATACTTCTTCCATTTTTATCTCAATCTAAATATAGCGATTGACTCGGTGAAAAAGAAAGATTGTGTTGGGGAATATCCTTCCACTTAGGTTGCAGTTGGGATCATGCTGTTCCCCATATTTGGTGCTTTGTCTGGGTACACTACAAAATCCTACAGTAAACAAATCAATGTCGAGAAAGGCAAGAACAAAAAGCAGTGTTGTGGATGCTTGACTCTGAACATCTATCTTTCAAGGCAAGAAATGCTTTTCAATGACTTCCAGTGATATTTGTAGCAATTATGTCATTAACTAGGAGACACAAGGACATCTTTGTGTCTGATAAAAAAAGTGTGCCATAATGTAATGGAGTTTAATGTCCAAATAGTGTAGATTCGACAACACTTTCTGACATTCAATTATGCAGCTCAAATATTTCAAAATCTACACATGAAAGATGAGGAGAATAATGTAGATTTTAAGGGGGTTTTTTTCCCGCAAACATTCTTTACATTAACCAATCTTATTTTTCCAGTAACTTGTTTTTGTCCTTTTTATGAAAATATTTTAAAGAAAAAAATTAGTTCTGCAGGTGAAAGGACAAAAAACAAAGCAAAAGCAAATGATTGCACTGTATTGAACAATCAATGGAAAAGGAAAGCAAATTTAACAACGAAGAGTTCACATAGTGCAACATCTTAATCCAAAGGTAGAGATAAGAATACAAATGATGTCATGAACAGTTGTGTTAGTAAACAAAAAGCCACTGATTAATTAACAAAACAACCTCATCAATTGAGTAGTTACTAAACCTCAGCCACTACAGGATATTGTTATCTTATTCTATGCATACAACAGAGCATAAACTAGATCCTTTGATATCTACCATTGGGTGTGATACCATTAGACCGTTACAGGTTGCATATGGATAATAGAAAATCAAAAGAACTTACTTGAAAAGAGATTCACGCAACAACTTATCCATATGAAACTCATATGCTAGATCAAGATCTTTTAATGTGGTATTTTCTCCAACCTTGTCTTTATCTGTGTATCTCCCTTGAGTTGACCCCTTCAGGTCATAGCGATCATGAATTCTTAATTCTGTGCAAAACATATTTCCCATGACTACAAAGCGTACCTATAAAGAATAGGAAACCCAAAACCCTCACTAAACACAAGTGACATGAATGGAAGAAAGTAATATACAGGCGTATGAAAGCTGCAGATACCTTTTTCCCACCTCTCAATGTTATTCGGTGGACCCCAAAAATTTTTGTGATGAGAGTATTTTCATGCTTCCCTACATGATCGTAATATTCTGGAAGCATCTTTAGAAGGGTCTGCACAGACAAAGAAGAACATACACTTATTTGCAATGCTATGTTGATTAAGAGAAAATTACAATTTGCCATTTCAGAAAAACACCTAGAGAGTACATTCAGTTAGGACCTCTATTTTCATAACCGCCAGTGTCCTAGTATTTTATAGTTTACGATTCTGAGATCCTTTAGAACCAAACCTGACTTTGTAAGCAAAACTTTCAACATTATTAAATTAGCCTAGTGAAGTACTTTGGATGAAATGGTTAAAGTGCAACTCCCTGTGTCAATTAAGCATTTTTTTTTCTCCAAGATATTTACATTGCAACTATTGCTATGTGGACCATTTTTTAAAGAGAATAGAATCATACTTTCTACATGAGCCTTTAGTTTTGTTGAGATATATCTGCGAAACGTATCCCATTTTTATATGCAATGTTTTGTCATCAAGCAAGTTCCAATGTTTTGTCAAAGTATTTATCTATAGACAAAGATATGTTTATGAAATATACACAACTGACCTCTTCAAGCTCGATATTGAGGATAATAAACAAGCAGTTTATGATGAAGATAAAAATTTTGATTAGCATTGTTTACCACCAAGAACCTTATGTGACTAAAATAATAGCTTAGGGTGCACACTAAATCGTTTTCAAAATAGAAGTCCTAAGAAGAAGAAGTTGTTGCGCAATCAATCAACTACCTATAAACAATGCAATAGTGACCTGTACATGTATAGAAAGTGAATAGACCCTACATGATGATGTATGAATCCATCCACGTCCTATGCCTTTCCAAGCCTGGTCTACAGGAAAGTTGGCAAGTCTACCCAACGATTTCTCCCTCACAAGTAATTATAGACAAACAATAGTTTCCTCATATTCAGGTCGGAGGAAATTTTCTCATGTCCATTGGTGTGTTGATATTACTCTTCCATGTGTTGACAATATTAATTGTGCTTTGAATTTTTATTTTTTATTTTTTTACTATCTTCTCTTCCTCACAAATCTTGCTCTCTTTTCTTTAATTCTGTTTAGAAGAATATGGGTTTGCACGAAATTTTTAAGGCAAAATTAATATTGCTAGCACATGGCAACCTAAGCCTCCTAATATTATGACACCTATGGGCAAGAGGAAGTTCTTCCAATCCAGATAGGCGGAAATTACTGTCCATCAGAGACACGACTCAAGGCTTTTATTATCTGCTACCTTTTGCCTTTAATAAATTTAACTCATTGGAAACACACACTAGACTAGCCCATAGCAAATAACTCAATAAAATATCAAAGAACACGCACATAAACCTAACCCAGTGATAAATGCACAATATGAAACTTTAGGCCAATGCAAATGCAACACTTGCAATGATGAACTTGACTAGACAAGGACCCTTTGTCATTAATTATTCGGATAATTATTTTTCAAGATTTTTCATGCAGTATCCCTTTTGTTCTCCCCTTATATCATAACATCTGAAAACAAAACCATATATAACTCTCTAATGGTGAAACTATTGATAGTAAAACATAAACATACTAAGCTTTCCTATCTTCTTTTCTAGCTTACATCGCTGTTATTTGCACAAATGCATTTATTTACTAGTGGAGTCCATTTTGAACTTGTTGCTTATCCATGTGAAAAACTCTTAGCTTCAATAGGATACTGGACTCTACTCTCCAATAGAAGAAAGCACGTGGTGAGAAGCAACAACAGTCATGTGCACCTAATCCTCTGAAAAACCTCACATCTAATTGGATCAAAGCCATATGAATTATCCAGTATATGAATCAACACCATGAAAGCATCTTCAGCTCCATCATTCATTTTCCTCTCTATTTCTATTATGCTGCCACAAAGAGAAGATACCCTCTTCAGGCCCTCAATAACTACAAGCCACTCCATGCAGTTGGGTTTCTTTGACAAATGGACTTCTAACTAAGATGGTCATAACATTATCTTCACCATCTGCACAAAGACCTCTCATTCCAATTTAGAAAGACTACAAAGGGAAAAACCTTGAGAACCAAACTTCATTAAAGTAAATATCAAACAAAGTTGATAGCCAACCTCCACATTTCAACTTCCAACCCCAAGAAAGAGATTAAAAAAAAAAAAGTTTAAGAATCGTGCTGAAATGAGTGGCATCTACACAAGAAAAATCTTTAAGCATGATTGTGAATAAAATCTCAAAATCTAACTGGATATTTCATGCTTTATTCCATATTTTAAACCCTTTTAAAGCATGATTTATGACACTTATCTAGCAGAAGGATTTTCCTTCAAAGGCACGACAAATACCAGTGACAATTGCTTGAAAGTTCCCGCAGAATCAAATAGGATTTGTTTGGAATCTCCATTTCCCAGGTGGGTTTCAATGTGAACAATCAATTTAAAACCTCAACTATAAAGGATCTACAGATCCATTATGAAACAAAAAATTTAAAAGGAAACAAAAAACAAAACAAAAAGAGAAGCATACAAATATTCAATCCTACTAAAATAATAGCAATAAGATACCTAAGGCCATGTCATGAAACAGTATAGTTTCATGGATTTTAGATTTAAATAGACAAGTTGCCAAAGAAAGACTAGGAATTTTGAGTATGCTAAGAATCAGATTATAGTCAGAATGAATGTTTATCTGGATTCAAACCTTCAGTTCGAACTTTTTTAATGTCTTAATCACAAATCTATCATCATGTGAAAGAAAGAAGATACTGCCGCTTTTTCCAGAGGAAGGAAGCTCCGTTAGACCATCATCACCACAGATGGACATCATGTACTCAGCTGCATCGAGCTTAAACATCTCCCTTAAATTCCTGAAATAACAATCCCACAAAAATTGAGATGTCTAACATAAGTAAAAGTATTGAATATCAAGCTCTCTTCTTCAAATTCAAGCTTAAATTAATATATATGTGAAGATTATAATTTCATGTTTGATAAAAAGTCTAAAATGGAAATCCTCTGGGCGGTTATTTTAATTTACCTTAACAGACCTACTCATACAAGTTTAAAAATGCACTACAATAACCATCATAGAGAAAATATGATTGGAAAAACTGCAATTAGCAAAAAGAAGAGAAACCTTCTCGACATAAAGGCTTCAATAAGTAGCAGACAGACTCATACTGAGAGAAGATCAAATGCTGATGTCTGCATTTGAGAGTAAAGCAAGCGGGAAAGTGAAATAACAAGGAAATTATTGCATTCCATGCCACTCCCTTGCATAACAGTTTCTGATACATAGGATTGTTAATTTCATGCTAGAAGTCCTAAATTCTTATAGTCTCCCTTAAAATAAATGTCACATAGGAAAAAGTCCTTGTTTTAGGTTTTAGAATGCCTGGAGACCAGCAATCCACCATAAGCAACAAATAGTCATAAATATCTTGCCAACCCGTGGCAAAGTCAACATTTGTTTAGTTTAACAAGGAGATCAGAGTAAAAAAAGAAAAGGAAAACAAAGAATCCTCAACCAGTGAATACCAACACATCCAAGATGAAACCTGTTCAAGCCTTGTACTTCATTGAAAAGGGCATTCAGCTGCCTATGAGAATAGAACAGTGCTGAAAGTTATAAGATCTCTCCAAATTTACACACTTCTCATTCAAAACACAACACTCATCAAATATGATCAATAGCCTCAAAGGCCTAATGGCAGGTGACTTCCAGCAAAATTCAAGGAGGCCTTACAAGATCTAGGTTTTATGTTCCTACAGGCATTGACATAATATATCTGCTTGAAAATGCAAACAGAAGATCATGAGAAAAAAATCACAGCATCCACTTCTTTCTAATAATCAGAGAAGCAGCCTATTTGAACTCAGCCATAGCTTTCTGCTCTATTAAGAGCTACTTCTGTTGTTAATGACAGTTATATGATATCATTTCAGCTGGGAAAAAACAGAGCACAAAATATCCCCAGTTTACAGCTGGAAGTCACTTGGGATAGATTAAAAATCTACAGCACTATTCTCATTTTTCAAATATTTAAAATGTGTGCTGCTTGTAATGTCTCTTTTCGTGAGTTAAGCAAACATCTGACAATAAATACCTGAAGACCATAGGGCAGTAGTCTTTCCAATAGAAATCAATAGAATAGTGTGGAGGTGTAAACTGGGAACCCTTTCTGGGGAAATACATCCTTATTCTAGCTCGATCTCCAAAATCAGAATCTCGAGCTCCACGCATAGGCACTGGTGTAATCTTGCCAACAGTGTACCTGTGAACTTAAGATCAGATATTTTGCAAGTGTGCTAATGTCCAAGAATATGTTAATGAAATAAAATAAACTTGCACATGCCTGAAAGAGCTATTAACCTGGTGAAAAACCGAACCATTAAAATACCAATTTGGTCCACTTAAACTAGGATGATCAACTTCCTACAGGTGCAAACTTATAGCATAAGATGGAATAAAATAAAAAAACAATAAATGTCTGATTCCTCAGTAACTTAGATTTTAATAGTTGAAGATGCTCTCAAAGAGATCATACCAAAAATAACTTCACATATGGTCCATCTCAAGAAAGAAAAAAACACACACACATATAACAAAACAAAACAGAGAGAGAGAAAGAAAACTTCACATGTTGTCAAACATGTTATGATAGTGGCAGCCAAATCAACATTTTCTACAAGCTAACAAGTACAAGGATTTTTTAACTAATAATAAGAGTTTTCTATGGTAGAAACCCCAAATGGTTGTAACCTTGCTTGGGTAGGGTGATCAGTTGGGATCAAATGCTCAGATATTCCAAATCCCAATAGCCCATCAGATTTTGCTAGTTTTCAGTAGCACATATGAGAATAAAGATAAGGTACAAATACAATAAGCATTATCATAACATGTTTGACAAAAGGGCTTAAAGATTGGTATTGTAACCAAACAAGATGGAATTGTGAACACCAATAACACTTTCATAAGAACTACTATTTGGGTAAGAAAAGATGAACAATTTGAAAGCAGAAAACCTACACCAGAATCAAACAAGAATAAGGGGAAAAACGGATAAAGCAGGAAAAGCAGGAAGGTAGACTTCAATGTCTATCCATTTACCTTATACCAAGTTGCAAACTAAGCATTAGATAATAACTCCAATGGCCTTGGAAAATGTCCACATATGACTTCCTTTTTGTTACTTTCACATCAAATTTGTTTCTCTGTTTAGTTTTGCGGGATGGTTCGGTATTTTTAACTTTCTCATTTTTCAAAACTCCCTGCATGTATTCCCTCTCATAAACTACTGTACAGTTATCCTGCACACCTCTTTGACCCTCATCAGAGGTTTGGGACAGCATACATGATGGTTCACGGCATATAAATTCACTGCCAAGGCTACAACGGCTTGAATTTTCATCTAGTGAGACAGTTCCTAGTGAGAATCGGCCAGAATCTTTAAAGATTCCATTGATTGACATTCTCTCAGATAGACTGCGCATGTCATTTGGTATAAGAACCCTGGTTTTCTCTGAATTTAAAGATGAACTATGAGACAACAAATTTCTTCCACTTTCATAACAGCCTAAGGAGCTGCACCACCTCCTTAGAGATGGATGCTTGGTTCCAGCTGAGTAAAATGTCCCTTTTCCATCCTTAAGTCCCATACTCCACATTCCAAAGTAGTATCCCCCGTCTGCAAACCTATAAACTCCAGATCCATGTCTAAGACCATTTATCCAAAAGCCATCAAAAAGATCACCGTTTTCCCATTTCATAACCCCCCTGCCACATATTTTTCCACCTTTCCAATTCCCCATGTATGTATTTCCATTATTCCAAGAGTACTTACCACAGCCTTCACGCATCCCTTCCTTCCAAGAACCCTCATAAACATCTAAATTAGAATATTGTTTCCTTCCAAGCCCATGCCGTGCATTCATTCTCCAGGCCCCTCTGTATTCGGACCCATCATGTCCTATCAAGGTGCCAATTCCATGAAGGTAACCGCCAGAGAAATCACCTTCATATTTTGCTCCTGAAGACCAAAGTATCTGTCCTTTCCCAGTCATTTTACCTTCTTCCCAGTCACCCTTGTAGACTGTTCCATCACACCATATATATTTACCCTTACCATGAGGAAGTGTTCCCTTGAAAATACCAATGTAGACTTCTCCATTTGATAAGGCCTTCTTGTCAATACTGGGGTATGATAGTAAAAGTCAGGAAATTTTCATCATCATCATAATTATGGAGGACAAATTATGATTTTTTGTATGTGCAAAAGGATATTCTGAAGTGTAAAAACAAGGAGGAAGAAGAAGGTTATGGGTTCAACAAAAGGAGGATTTGGTAACAAGATTAGTACCTTTCACTGTCTTCAATATCTAATAAGTGACGAAGGAGCACCATTTGCTATTCTGGTTCTGAAAATAAGATGCAGTTTATCATATTTAAACGATAGAACCACAAGATTCCTCCACTTCAAGCATTTCATAGCATCTCAAAATTAAAATTAATAATCTAAATTCATCCATTGGTTTACCACAATGAATTGAAACTAAACATAAAATTATCAAATAGAAAAAAACATTTTTGCTATCCCAGAAAAGGTTCACGACCCCATCATCATTAAGGTAAATGGACACAAAATGCCAGGAAAAAAATAAAAAGCCATAATCTTTCAAAACATCATGCATTAGGTTTACCAAAATGAATTGAAACTAAACATGAATTATTACATGGAAAAAAAAATTCTGGCTATCCCACAAAAGGTTAATGAACCTACTCAATTCCAATATCATCATCGAGGTAATTGAACATAAAAGGCCAGCAAAAAAGAAAAAGCCGTAATCTTTCAGAGCATCAAAAGAAAAAAGAGCGAGAAAAATCAAAAGAAAATGGAAATAACCAAATTACACAAGCGCACAGAGAGAGAAACAGGCACTAAAAGAAATCATAAAGTCACCTGAAACATACAAGAAAATCAATCCAAGCATCGTCCAAGCATTTAAGCAACACGATGATGAATCTCCCTCTTTCTCTCTAAAAAACAAAACCCAGAACTTTTTATCTCGAAGGAGCAAAACATACAAAAAAAGGTTGTATCTTGTCCTGTCGATCCTCCAGATCCTCTGCTGCTGCTACAATGGACACTTCACCTCTTTTTATCTCTCTAAAAACATCAGCTTCTTTCTTTGTTCGCTTCTTTCTTCAACTATTAAAAAATGTGTCTTTCTTGCTTTCCTTTCCTTTTCAATTGTTCCGTTGTGTTGTGTTGTCAGTTGTCTGTCAATTGCCCATGCATCAAGTTCCCTCCTTTTCCTTGCGCCTCCTTACACTTTCACTTTCTCTTTCATTCTTTTTTTGGACAAACCTGAAAACAAGTCCCCGTTTATGAAGTTAATATCAATTAAGGGCCTGTTCGTGTGCCCAACCACGCTGGTGGCTGCATGAACAAGCACACTCTCTGTTTTCAACTTTTTTTATCTTGATTAAACCCTTAATGGTAAACAAATTCTCAATTGAAATTGGAATCGTTAAATTTAGCCCCAAAAAAATTATAAATTTGCTGAAATCTTTCACGCCATGTTATGTTAAAACATAAGAGCATAAGAGCTTTGTGTTTCCTTGTATAATTAGGTCTGCTGTATAAGCTCCATGTTATTAAACACGAGGATCTTGCAGAATTCTTTGATTTTGTATGGAGAAAAATTAAGGATGGGGGTGATTGGGAATTCATTGAGGACCTAATTGAGATAAAACATAAATTAGAAACTTAATTGATATTTTCCTTAAGAGTTGGGGACTTTTGTTAGTTTTGCCCTTATACGTTCACCCCCCCACCTCCCTTCTGAAAAGACAAAGGAGAAAGAGGGGGGTTGGGAGCATAAGCATCCATCCATCCAATCGCAAGAATATTGCCACGTGTCAGACACCATTAGTGGGACCTATGTGGTCTTGGGTCCCCCTTACAGATTTCATGGGTCCCCGTCGGCTACGGTGGTGGTGAATGGATGGTGGAGCAGGTGGAAATAGGGTGTGCATGAGCTGTACCTGATTGTCTTTCTTTTTTTTATAAGTATGTGTTATTAATTTATTTATATAAATAATAAATAAGTGTGTTTTAAAATTATTTAAAGAAGTGCTGAAAAAGGAAGGCATAAATCGCAAAGCTCACAACTCTACATGTGAGATTCTTCTGTCTTTATCTTTTATGATCGTGAGTTTGGTCCCCTGTTCTAGAACTCACTTTAGGTTTTTAGGTTTTTTCATGTTTTAAAAAAATTTAAAAAAAAATAATTTTTTTTATTTTTTAAATTTTTTTTTAATATTTTAATATGTTCATATTAAAAATAATTTTTTAAAAATAAAAAATATTATTTAAATATATTTATAAAAAAAAAAACTTTAAAAAACAATTATAACCACCTTTTAAATATTTGACATGACACTTCTTACAAAATTAATATTTTTTATATTTTTTGATTGATTTGATAGTGAATATTAAAAATAAATTTAATAAAATAAAAAAATATATTATTTTAATATATTTTAAAGTGAAAAGTATTTTAAAAAATAATTAATATTACATTCTCAAACATTGTTTAAATTAATTTTTTAATTTATATTAATTTTAAGTTGGGTTGCTTAAGCCCGGGTTAATTTACTTGGCTTCTTAAATCTATAACCGTGGTTTTTCCTTTCTTTTTTTGGGAAAAGTTTTGTTGATAAAGCATGCCAACAACAATTCTCATGTGTGAAAATTAACATCTATTAAATTAAAAAAAAAAAACAGAGAAGAGGAATATAATAAGAAATTTAAACACAAGTGATAATCAAAGAAAAGGAAAAGGATATTCGTCTTCCAATCATCACTTAAGGGTGGAAAAATCACCGAATGAAAAGTTTAATGGCTAGTAATTTTTTAATAACAAATTAGAAACCAAACATTGTAGGATTTATGTGCTGGGATTTAAAAATGTTTGGTAAAAAGTTGAAATTTTAAGATTAAAAGGTAATTGAAAGCTTTATAAGCAATTAAAAGTCTGTATATTTGTTTGTTTATATGATTTACCATATAAAAAAATACAATTAGAAGAAGATATATTAAGCACTTCTTTTTCAAGCTATCAAAACAGTATAATTTGTACATGTTGTGATTGAAAAACACAGTATGCAATTTTGTTGGTATTAGAAACGCAATATTTTCAAGGAATTGTAAAATCAACTACACAAATCATGATAAGAAAAAAATAAACGAGATTGAAAAAAACTAAAAAACGTTATAGATGAATATTGGAGTTTGACTATGATACCATTAATAAAAAGCATTTAATAAGATAGATTTAATGATATTAAAAAAATTATCAATTATAATTTAAGTGTATCATATTTCATGGGAGTTTATTTTTTTATGATAAATGCGGATGTATTCCCATCATAATTAATATTTTTTAATATTTTAAAATTTATACTATTAATATGTTTATGATTGTATTAATAAAGTCATAATTGAAATTTCAATATGCATATGAAATTTTTATTTTTATTTTTATTTCTTTTCATTGTAATTTATTCTAAGTACGATGATTTTAAATACCAATAAAGTTAAATAACAATCCTCATGTGTGAAAACTAACATCTATTAAATTAAAAAAAAAATAGAAAGAGAATATAATAAGAAATTTAAACACAAATAATAATCAAAGAAAAAGAAAAAAATATTCATTTTCCAATCATCACTTAAGGATGGAAAAAACACCAAATAAAAAGTTTAATGGCTAATGATTTCTCGATAACAAATTAGAAACCAAACATTGTAGGATTTATGTTCTAGAATTTAAAAATGTTTGGTAAAAAGTTGAAATTTCAAGATTAAAAAGTAATTAAAAGCTTTATAAACAATTAAAATTTTGTATATTTATCTGTTTATATGATTTACCATATAAACAAATACAATTAGAAGGAGATTATTAGGCACTTCTTTTTCAAGCTATCAAAACAGTATAATTTGTACATGTTATCATGAACATATACAACATGTAATCTTGTCGTTATTAGAAACGGAACATTTCCAAGGAATTGTAAAATCAACCACACAAATCATGATAAGAAAAAGGTGAATGAGATTAAAAAAAAAAAGAAGTTCTAGATGAATATTGAGGTTTTGATTACGATATTATTAATATAATTAGATAGTATTTAATAAGATAAATTTAATAATATTAAAATAAATTATTAATGATAATTTAAATGTATTATATCTTATAAGAGTTTATTTTTGTTTAATGATAAATGCGGGTTTACTCTCATTATAATTAATAATTTTTTTTAATTTTTTTGATATTTTTAAATTTATATTATTAATATATTTATGGTTGTATTAGTAAAGTTGAAATTGAAATTTCAATATGCATATGAAATTTTTATTTTTTTATATCATCTCTTTTCATTATAATTTATTCAAAGTACCATGATTTTAAATATCAATAAAGTTAAATATTGCCTTATCCATCGTGTATAAACTATATTATTTCACTGATTTTTTAAAATTATTTTATTTTATTAATTTTTTGAAAATACCGTGCTAGTAGGAAAAAATAGCCAAAGAAAAAAATGAAAATGAAGTTCTCGGCGCAACTGAAAAGGTGGAAGTCTGCCAAAGTTGCAATTTTCCCTTCTTTAAAGGACGAATATTTTATAATTACCTTCACAGAAGAAATAAAAACAAAAAATCTTCCTTCGCTGGTGCCAGCCCAGAAGAATGGAGGTATCACCTATAAGCACTTGCACAGGGTTTCACCATATCCACCCCCGCGCAACACCCTTATCTTTCCCACTAACTCCTCGTATATCCACCACCAGCAGCAGCAGAGGCAGAGGCAGCCGACGCAGTTCTGCAGCAGCAGCAACACCAACACTTGTGGATATCTCTTGTAATGACCCACAAAACGGCTGTGCAGTTGACGCTCAAAGGCGTCACTCAAAGGCATACTTGGCTAGAAAAAATGCCATTCTTCAAGTTCAACAATCACCCCATTTGGATTCTGCCCTCCAAAGGTCCTTCCTTTGTTTTTTAGTCTTGAATGATAATATGCTGTAAAAATGCAGTGCGAGTGCCAAGATTTTACTTTTCAGTGAAAATGTGAACTAGGTTTTAATCGTTTTTTACCCTTCCAATGTAACTTTTGAATGCAATTTTTTTTCTACTTGCCAGGTTTTGTGGGTTCTGGAATTTTGCTGTGATGCCTTTTCTTTCTTTCTTTTTACTTGTTTGATATTACATAAAAAAGGATTCTCTGAATGATACATGGAACTTATAATTCTAAGAAATTAACCCTTTTGTGGGAATTGTTCCGTAAGGTTAAATTAGGCAAGGGTTGAACAGTTTCTTTTTTAGTGGTAGGTATTGGGCTTGGGGTGATATTTCCCGTGGAGATCAAGATTGAGAGCTAGAACTTATGAATATGAACAGTTTTTCGTCCAATTATTTGAAACTTAGCAAAGATTCTTAGAGAAGGTATGTGCTGGAGGCTGTCTCGGTGCAGACAGATTTTGATGAAACTATGATAATGGGAATTGTTTCTTAATTTCCCGTGAAATCATAATTTTAAATGATTCTAATTACAAAAGGAAACTTCTGTGAATTGGTGTTATGCATCTGTTATATTGGTGATACATGGATCATAAAATCAATGTAACTAAATTAAGCTTCTAATATGAATCCATTTCCCTCATTCATTTCTGTTTTCAGCTAAACTTCTTGCAACCTGCTGTGATGGTAAATCATTCCTTATCACTTCAACACACATTAGTTTTGGTCTGCTTTCCCCTTTTTTTCACTCATCTCTTCAATATGCTCATTATTGCTCTCCTAATGCATTCACTGGACATGATCAAACTATCTTAGACAGTCCTTATTTTAACTTAAAACTATTGTGGACAGCCCTCCTCAACGTGTTCTGTTTCCACCCTTCTTCATATACTCGTCTCACAATCGGTACTTCAACATGCTCCCTCTTCCTCTCCAATATCCCATTGGATATGGATGAAATATTCCGCCC